TCTCTCTCTCTCTCTCTCTCTCTCTCTGATCCTTTCTTTTTTTCTCTATACAAAAAAAAAACAAACATCGTATTTAATTTGCACACTGCAGAACATATGAAATAATTGTCATTTTTTTTTTGGTTTCTTTCCTTATTTATTTATTTATTTATTTATTAATTTGTTTTATACCAAAAAACACAGAAACTTCGTTGAACATCCTGTAAATATGATTATAATTAATCGCGTTTGCGTGATTTACCGTATTCGTTAAGCATCTCATTGAATTTGTATATTTGTAGAGGGAGGATGGATAGAATAATATAATAAAAAAGAAGAAACTTTTAATTTTCTTCCGAGAAAGAGATAGAGGTTGAATTGAATTTTTAATAAACCGTGAAAAACTATGTTTTTTCTATGAGATAGAGTATACGCGATGTAAAAAATTAAATATATACACACGTTGATTCAAAAATATGTGTACGTATATGCGCACCTATACATATGTGTTAATGTATTTTTTAGGTTTTTTCATGAGAGTTACTGTACAAACGTTGAGAAAATAAAAATAGAATGGCACGAAATAAAACTAAAATAAGGAAAATAAAATAGACCGAAAAAAAGAAAAAAACGTAAAAGAAAAAAAAAAAAGAAAAAAGTCGTGAAACTACGATGCGGCATAAAATTGTAATGCGGAGGCAGACAGCAACTCTTCGTTACTAAAACATCCGCAACTTTAACTTTCCGTTCGCGGCTACTGCCAACGAGTACAGAACAAGAAAAGAACAGAAAAAAAAAAACGAAAACGAAACGATGCTTTTTTAACTCGGTCGAAAGAATAATGAAACATTACGTAAAGGTAAGCTGCTTGTTAACACGTCGAAACGAACCTGTACATACATCCAAAATACGATACTCATTATGCATTATTCGAATACTCGTTCTCTCAAATTTCGCGCGTGTAAATTCGATTTAAAGAATTATAAAAAGAAAAAAAAAAAGAAAAAAATATAAAATAAAATACATAATATTGATTATAATGTAATCATACAAAAATAACATAGTATATTATATTAATCCTAACTTATCTCTAATTTTTCTCGAATACATATGTCTTCAGTAAACGTGATAATATATTAATAAATTGTATCTTACCGCTGAAAAAAAAAAAAATGTAACCTGGTGTAAAACCGAAGTTATTTCTAATCAGCTTATAACGAAGATCTCTATAAAAAAAAAAAGTGTACCAATGTTGTGTAATATTTATTGAAAAAAAAAAAAAAAATATATATATAAAAGAAAAATATTTCGTTCAAATGCATATACATAAAATACTTACCACAGACTTACATATACAATGGTATAATTTTTATAAACTTTCCGATGTATTCGTCGCTTACATATTTCTTTAGGGTTTCTTTTTTGTTTTCACATTTATAAAACAAACGGGCGACATTAAAAAATATCGCACGATTATCATTACTATTGTTATTATTATATTTATTAACCAAATCAAAGAATCACTTTCTTACGATTATACTGCATTTTCTTTCTCCCGATCTAAAGTATCTTTTTAGTGTGTGTGTCACGTTAAATATTATTCAAAAAGGAAAGTACGATAAAGGAAACAGTCAAACCGGAAAAACATTCAATAATCGTTGAACTAACCAATTCGTGCAATTTACGAACTCGTAACAAGACTATTTCGATTCGAAAATGAGTTTACCAAACGTTCCAAAGAAATTATAATTTCGGTTAAAGAGGTAAACGCAATAAAAAACGCGTTTGTCTTCCTTTTGCTATTTTTAAAAATGCAATTAAATAACAAAATGTTTCTTTTCTTTTGTTTTGTTTTTATCTTATACGCAGAAAAATTCGAATTTGTTATTAAATAACTAACGTAGTTAGTCGAACATTTACAAATAAAATGGCGTTGACGCTAAATTTGTGAATCGTACGAAAAAACAGTAATTTCCTAATTATTTTTCCCCGCACATCTAATGATATTTAAAATACAATAAGACAATAGTCTATCTAATTCTCAAAAAAAATCTTATCTCGTTTACATAATCCATCCTATCTGACAAATCAAACATTTTCCATCCAGGCCACGTAGGTCACCAATGGCCGATGATACTCATACATTTCTATGACCAACAGAGATCACTTGGCCTAAATGGAAACCTTGACAAAAGATGCTTGACGTTTAACATTGTTAACTATTAATCTATTTCCATGATTTTTTGTTTCTTTCTTTTAATTTTAAATATACAATAAACATATGAAATATAAAATAAAAGATATTTGAACTAAAAAGAAAAAGAAAAAAAAAAAAAATAAATTTACATTTTCAAACCTTAGGAATTACCATTAATATTTTTTTAATTATCTAACAGATGAATTATATCCTTTATTTTATTAGAATATATATATACATATATGTATATACTCATACATATATTCATATACATATACAAAAATATATATACATATATTATATATATATATATATATATATATATATATATATATATATATATATATATATATATACTTATACATATACACATATATATATAAATATACATGCAGCAGCAATTACTATGAAGAAATTCATTTTTATATACTCCTTATTATGTATATACAAATTACAGCGAGTGACAGTATTTTTTTTTTTCTTTTTTTTTATTCGTGGTAGCAATAAAATTGAAAACGTTTACGAACTTCTGGGTGTTTGCGTATGTGTGGGTGTGTGTGTGAATATATTCCATATTGCGAGGTTGTTTTCAACTGCTAGAATATCGTATTTTTAAATAACACATTCGAATTTATAAAAATTTTCTATATAGAAATTTTACCTTTTTTTCGTTCAAAAACCAATCGACGAAAAATTATATATGGGTATAAATATATATAATATTCTAAATTAATTAATTACCAAGGAGAACGGATGGATGGATGGCGGCTAATTTATAAACTTAGATCAAAGCTGCTTACCTTGCAATATGCCAAATAGAATAATCTGCTCATTAAAATTTTTCCATTCCGCTATACAATTCTCGTTGTAACTCAAATGCGGTAATTTACAGCATTTATGCTAATAACAATAAGGAAATACAATATGAACATTATTGATGGTTGCATCGATTCGTCGCGGGCTGAGAGAAAACGTCATAAGGCATATTACTGAGATCAATAATCTTGTACAGAGTCGTAATTATTGTATGGGGGTGGATCAGGGCGACCTTCGGGAATTCTATATTTTTCTTCGACTTCTTGATCGTTATCGTCTTCATACTTGACTGCGGTGAAATATGATCCTGATGTTGAGAACGTGTTACTATAATCGGGATAATCTGAAAATATTTCCCATCATTAACACAAATTATATTTGTTAAATCATTAATATACACCCCAATGGGGGTATCCAGAAAAAGACTATAC